CATTCATCGGGCAGCCACCAGCCTACCCTTGCCACCTGGAAAGCGTCGATCCACCTGGGCGCTATTGACAGGGGACGGGCTGCCGTCCTCCAGAGCCGCGGGCACCGCTGGGGGACCAGCCGCCCGCGCGCCTGAGAGCAGGCGCCGCGCCTGGCTGCGAAGCGCAGCCCCGCAAGTAGTGACGGCCTCCAAGAGCAGGAGGGTGAAGAACCCGACGCCGAGCTCGATGCCCCACTTGAAGCCACCCTCCTCCGGCTTGGGGCAGGCCGGGCAGGGATCGGGGCAGACCTCCCAGGCCGGGAGCGGGGCCGCCGGCAGGCACCTGGCGATCTCCGCGCAGAGGTCCGACACCTGCGCGGGGGCGGGCGGCGCGGCCGCTGGGCAGCTCCGCGCCGGCGGAGCGGGCGCCGGTGCCGCCCGCGGGGGCTCCAGCACGGGCAGCGCCGCAGGAAGCGGCGCCCACCGCCGCGCCACCCAGGCGGCGAGGAGGTGGAAGGCGATCAGCCCTCCCCCGCGGGCAGCAACGCGAATGCGGGCCCCGAAGGGGGCTCGGCCACCTGAGGCCCACACAGAAAAAGCTTGAGCCGGGGCGGTTTCGGAGAACCCGCGCGGCCTTCAACGCCCCAGCGATTATTGTTCGAGAACGGGCCGCCATCATCATCATCATCATCATCATCATCATCATCATCATCATCATCATCATCATCATCATCATCATCATCATCATCATCATCATCATCATCATCATCATCATCATCATCATCACATCATCATCATCATCATCATCATCATCACCACCACCACCACCACCACCACCACCACCACCACCACCACCACCACCACCACCACCACCACCACCATCATCATCATCATCATCATCATCATCATCATCATCATCATCATCATCATCATCATCATCATCATCATCATCATCATCATCATCATCATCATCATCATCATCATCATCATCATCATCATCATCATCATCATCATCATCATCATCATCATCATCGTCATCATCATCATCATCATCATCATCAACATCATCATCATCATCATCATCATCATCATCATCATCACCATCAGTATCACCACCATCATCGTCATCATCATCACCACCACCATCATCATCATCATCACTGCTGCCACCATCACCATGTCGGCGCACCACTCAGACGCTTCGCGGCCCAATGGGGAGCTCCAACTCAGGCCCGGCGCCACGGCCCGCATGCCCTCTCCTCACCATGTCGGCACACCACTCACATGTCTTGCGGTCCCAAAAATAGGCCCCGCCGAAGACAATACTCACGACTACGGCACTCACACCCGCATAGTGGCTGGGTCGGCCACCATGCTAATGTGTTGCGTGATTCCTTAGGAATAACACATGTTACTCGGGAGCAGTGGCGCTGCCGGTGGGATAAGGGGGTGGGGCGCCGGCGCAGCAGCAGGAGCAGCAGCATCAGCAGGAACAGCAGCAGGAGGAGCAGCAGGAACAAGGAGGAGCACTGGAGCAGCACGGGCAGCAGCAGGAGCACCAGAAGAGGAGCAGGAGGAGAGGAGGAGCAGCAGGGGAAGCATCAGAAGAGCAGGAGGAGGAGCAGGAGGAGCGGCAGGAGGAGCAGGAGAAGTCCCCAAGCGTCGAAGATGGCCCAAGATTGCCTCGCGAGACACAGACTTCCAAAGCACCGCAGGAAAGCCAAGAGGCACACCACGAATGCCCAATTCCGCTGCCCCCTTGGAGGTACTCGGCGCGTGAGATGGCTGCCCCCTCCCCTGTCGGATCCTCGGGATGACTCCAAAATAAGCTACGAATGCTACGTGACAGAGCCAAGTGAGCTCCAGGAACGGCTTTACGACCAGCTCGCAGTGCGCCATTGCGGCGTGGGATACGCCCCCAGGGTTCCCAAAACAACCTCAAAAACTACACAGATGCTCGACAGACTGCCGCGCACGACCCCGCGAGAGCCTGACAGGCCCAAGCAAGACCCTACCCCGCCGCCCCCCCCCCCATTCCAAAACAGAAAGAAAACTTCCCGAGGCTCCAAAAGGCTCCTCCGAGGCGCCCCAGACGCACAGCACGTCCGGTATTAGTGCACCACGCGTGATGAGCGTTGCGAGTACTTTCTCTGTCACTGGCACCTGGATTGACGATCGCGCGATTGCTGGCACACAGAAACCCGAGCAAACGAAACTCAATGGGGTTCCCTGGAGCCCGTGGGATTCCCAGCGCCGACCCCTGGAGCACTCCGACGTCTGAATATCTTCGACTCCAATGCACCAACCAGAACGCGGCCCCGAAGGTGCGAACCAGTAAACGCGGCCGGAAGCCCCGAACAACCCCTCAACGAAATAGACTACACCCTGGGCCGGCTCACACCAAGCCCTCCTTGGGGTCGGCGGCAGAGGTGGCAGCCGTAAGATAAACCATGCCCGACCCACGAAACAGGAAAGGAATATAGAAGTGTAAGGCATGGCAACGTTTCAATAACACCTGATTGGGCGACGGGTAAATGCAATGCTGAGTGTATCGATCCCAATGTACCGTGCCGAGGGCTATGCTGTGCTGCGCCATGCTGAATTGCGATGTACCATGCCGCGATCGTGCTCTATAGCGGTGTGGATCGAGTCCTTCTTTGCATCCGAGTCCTGACCGAACTGATCTGGATCTTAAGCTCGAATTGCCTGAGCACATAGTAGCTGCCCCAGAGCTGCTGAGCAGGTGGGCATGCCGCAGAACGTCCCAGGGGACGCTCCAGGGGACGTGTCAGGGGACGTGCCGTGAGGACGCACCGCGGGACGTGCCAAGGGGGACGCACTACGGAACGTGCCAGTGGACGTGCCACGGAACGTGCCAGGCGACGCGCCGCGTGAAGCGCCAGGGGGACTCGCCACGGGACGCGCCACAGAACGTGCCAGCGAACGTGCCAGGGTGCAATGCTGAGTGTATCGATCCTAATGTACCGTGCCGAGGGCTGTGCTGTGCTGCGCCGTGCTGAACTGCGATGTGCCATGCCGCGATTGGGCTCTGTAGTGTTGTGGATCGAGTCCTCCTTTGCATCCGAGTCCTGACCGAACCGATCTGGATCTTAAGCTCGCATTGCCTGAGCACATAGTAGCTGCCCCAGAGCTAATCGACAGGGAGACATGTCAAGAGGACGCGCCGCGGAACGTCGCAGGGGACGCGCCAGGGGACGTGCCAGGGGACGTGCCGTGGGGACGCACCGCGGGACGTGCCAAAGGGACGTGATACGGAACGTGCCAGTGGACGCCACGGAACGTGCCAGGAGACGCGCCGCGCGACGCGCCAGGACGCGCCACGGAACGTGCCAGGGAACGTGCCAAGTTGCAATGCTGAGTGTATCGATCTTGATGTACCGTGCCGAAAGGCTGTGCTGGGGCCTCTTGGGGCCTCCTGGGGAGTTAGGAACCATATGGTGTTGCGCTTCTTCCGCCCTGGGGCGTCAGGAACCCATGTGTCTTCACGCTTGTCCCGCCCTGTGGCGTTAGGAGCCCATGTGTTTTCACGCTTCTCGGGCCTCCTGGGGCGTCCTGAAGTGCGGGGGGGGGAAGCGAAAAGCGCTTCCCGAATACATGTCCCAATACAGAACATACGTAACACAAGCCTTTGACCTGAGACATCCTCGGAATTCTGGCCCCCAAGAGAGGAACGAAATACAACACAAAACAAGCGTTTTGCTCGAATCGCAGTGTCTTCCCTGGAGAGGCCCCCAAAGCGCCACCCCCTGTCCAGAGCAAGAAAACATCATTTTTCTGTTTTGGGATATGTGTTCGGGTAGCACTTTTCGGCTCACTTTGCGTTTCCTGATACTTCGGAGTTGGGCCCGACGCCATGTTAGATACCCCCTGGGCGGCCTGGACAAGTAAAAACTCATGGTTCCAGTTCGAGGCAATCATGTTAGATACCCCATCGGGTGGCCTGGACATGTAAAAACAAGTGGATCCAGCTCTGGGCAATCATCTTAGATACACCCCTGGGTGGCCTGAACACGTTAAAACACGTGGTCCTTGCTCGGGACAACCATGTTAGATACCCCCTCTGGGTGGCCTGGACACGTGAAAACACCTGGTGCCAGCTCTGGGCAACCATCTTAGATACACACCTGGGTGGCCTGGACACGTTAAAGCACATGGTCCTTGCTCGGGACAACCATGTTAGATACCCCCTGGCTGGCCTGGACACGTAAAAACACGTGGTGCCAGCTCTGGGTAACCATGTTAGATACACTCCTGGGTTGCCTGGACACTTTAAAGCACGTGGTCCTTGCTCGGGACAATCATGTTAGATACCCCCCTGGGTGGCCTGGACACATAAAGCACTTGGTTCCAGCTCGGGACAACCATGTTAGATACCCCCTGCGTGGCCTGGATACGCTGAATTCGCGCTCCCGCTCGAGACATCCTCGCAATGTCTTCCCTGGAGAGGCCCCCAAAGCGCCAACCCCCGTCCAGAGCAAGGAAACATCACTTTTCTGTATTGGGGTATGTGTTCGGGTTGCGCTTTTCGGCCCTCTTTGCGTTTCCTGATACTTCGGCGTTGGGTCCGACGCCATGTTAGATACCCCCTGATGGCCTGCACGCGTAAAAACTCATGGTTCCAGCCCACCCAGGGGGGATATCCAACATGCGGTCGCCTGGGGCGCCAGCGAGGGACAACCATATTAGATACATCCCTGGGTGGCCTGGGCACGTGAGAACAAGCATTTCGCCTGAGACATCCTCTGAATTCTTGCCCCCGACGAGGCCCCCGCTCGAGACATCCACAAACACTGCAAAAACACGTTTCGCCTGAGACATCCTCAACAAACTTATATTCAACAGTAATTTCGCTAGGGACATCCTCAAACATAATGTCGCCGGCCCTTCGCGACCTCGTTATCTATCGCAAATGATTACGCCAGCCCAACAGCCGTCGAAACCGGAGGGAAACCATCTAAAAGAGAACCCTGGGCCCAGGCCCTTTCTGGGAAAACAGGCTCCTGTGTCGTCGGCGGTGGCCGCCGCAGACCGCGCCTGTTCATGAGGGAGGCGACTGTTCATGAGGGAGGCGCTGTTCACCTGCTGGGCGCGCCTGTTCACGAGGGAGACGCCCGCGAAGGCGAGACGCTCTGAGCCGGCTCTGCGCAACTGGGAAACTCGCTCGCGGGCCCCCCACGCTCCGTCGCCCGTGCGAACTCGAGGATGCTCGAGCCAGGGCGGCTTGCGCAGAAAGAGAAGGAGGAGGACGAGGAGGTCGGAGGAGAAGCCACGGCGTATCGAAGGCCGTGGCGGCGCCCCCCGCCATCAGGGAGCCAGCCGCAACAGTACTGTTTTCCCACGCATCTCATCTCTCATATTACTACGCACTTCCTTCCCTCTTACATCTTACATCTTCCTCCGTTTCTCAATCGTGACGTCAGAACTGCCGCTGATCGACAATGAGACGCCTTCATCGGCGACCTTGCGACGACAGTTATGTCAATCAGTACGGATAGCATGGACAGTGCGACAGGTACTTCTACCAAGATGGAAGACACACTCATGACACCCAGAAGCATCATGGTGAACATAATCCAGAATTCAGCAATCATAGAGGGTATGACCAGCACCACGGATGGCACGAGCAGCAATAACAGCCAGACCAGCACAACCAGCATCACCAACGCTTCCAGCACTACCAGAACCAGCACTACCATCACTACCAGCACTACAACGCCCCGCAACGACCTCAGCAGAACGACGACCAGCTTCGATACCAACAGCACGACCACCAGTAGCACCAGCACAGCCAGTATTACTAGCACTACAACGTCCAGCGCCGACCTCAGCAGTACCACGGCCAGCACCATGACGCTCAGTACTACAACGTCAAGCACCGATCTCAAACTCGACCTCAGCACTACGACGTACAGAACTATCAACACCAGCACCGCCCGCACCTCCAGCACCGACATCAGCACTATGACGGCCAGCACTACGAGCATCCTCAGCACCACCATAATGAGCATGGCGAGCGACTCCAGCAGCTCCACGTTCAGTCCCAGAACAGCTCGGCCAGAGGAGACAACGCGACCGCCGTACACATGTAGTGCGCGCACACCTGGCTACCAAACATATTACTACTCAACTCAAGACTGGCCTGCAGCCGCAAGTGCAACACAGCGACAACCACGTGCACGAAACCTGCGTATTTCCTGGGCCACTCTTGCTATCCTGACTGTGGCAACCGCCGCCTCCACCAGCACACGAGCCGAGCATCCATAGCCGACCACAACACGAAAGAATCAAGCAAACACTACCAGCACACCTACCACGACCAGCACCACAAGAGCAACACAGCGAGCACAGCGACCGACTGCAGCAGCTCTACAGCGAGCACTACGACCGACTCCAACAACTCGTTAACGAGCAACGCCCTCTACTACAACATCTCCACGAGAAGCTCCGCCAGCGACGACAACACGACAGCTACGACCACCACGGCAGCGACTACAGCGACTCTCACCGGCAAGCACACCACGGCGGCCACAACGGCAAGCAATCGCACCACAGCGGCCCTCACAATACGCACGTCGTCCACGACAGCGACTTCCACCAGCACCCACACCATGCCAAACGCCGCGACAGCCACGACAGTCTCTGCAGCGACTCTCGCGAGCGAGCGCACCACGGCGGCAATCACGACAACTACAACGGCATCCACGACAAGCAAGCATACCACGGCGGCCGCCGCGAGAGCCACAACAGCGACCCTTACGAGTACGCGCACAACCACGGCCACCACGACAGCCACGACAATAACTCGCACCAGCAAGCACACCACGGCGACCACCACGACAGCCACGACAGCCACGACAGCCACGACAGGGACTCGCACCAGCAAGCACGCCACGAAGACTACCACGAGAGCCAGTACAAGCACGACAATGGCACTCAAGAGCAAAAGCGCCACAACGGCCACCACGACAGCTACGACCGCCAACCGCGGCACCGACGACAAGCAAGCACACCACGAAAATCACCACGACAGCCACGACAGCTACTACAGCGACCCCCACGAGCACACACACACCACGACAGCTACCACGACAGCCACCACGCCGACCAAGACAGCGACTCCCACGAGCAACATAATCGGCCCACGAACCCAGAAAGAAATATATAATGCCACTCAGTTTACAGCGGTGAACGTTTGATGGCAGAGCTGGCCGATGCATATGCTTGGACGGCTTGGCTTAAAGATCCGACTCCCACGGGGAGCGCTCAGGCGGGTGAGGTCGGGGGGGTAGCTTGAGCAACACTACGGCGACAGAAGTAAAACTCTGAGCAAGACCCTGCAACGCAGAAACATGCTACTCATGTTACAGCGGTGAACGTGTGATGGCAGGGCTGGCCGATGCATATGTTTGGAAGGCTTGGATTAAAGATCCAGACTCTTTCGCAAAAAAACGGAAGTTCACAGCGCAGCGGCAGGCCCCCTGTGTTAAAACCACGAGGACAGGACCCTGGGCTGGCGGAGTGGCGTCAGACATGACCCTGAAGGAGGGTGCTAGCTAGAAAATTACAGAGCCTGGAAGGGTAAGCAGCAGCCTTGCGAGCCATCGAACTACCTACACGAGTAAGGCGCTTCTTATTCAGCCTGGAACTACAAAACCCGCGTTTCCCGCTACAGCGGTACCCCCAGGACTCCATTTTCAAAAGATCTAAATCGGATACACGTGGGTTGCCTTACGATATACGGTGCCAAAAGCGCACTGGTGGATAGTCACTCTCTCAAGGTTCGGCACGGCTCAGTTCAGCGACAGGTTTGCCCACAGCCTAGTCGTCTGTGGATTCTCGAGGGCACAAGGGATGTTATGCCTCCGGCAGGCCCGCAAGACAAGTATACAGGTATCTAGGCAAGCGTTTCCAACCTTCACCTTATAAGCATCGAGAGGGGGCAGATCGGGCAGGCCTCGCACGTGCAGAGTGTCGCGCACAGGATACCTGTTGCGCGCAACTGAAAAGGTGGCGCACGGCGGCGCCATCATCACTGCCGTCAGCAAAGTGTCTAAGAATCAAACGCATGTTCACTTTTGTCGTCAAATCCTGGTCGGGAGCGCTCCGCAAGTCCAAACTGACTACGGGGAGGCCCCAGCGTGCGGCGGCACGGTGGAGCCCGCCACCGCCGCCGAAGAGATCGAGCATGTATCTCCACGGCGCAATCAAGAGTGCCTGGCACGCTTGGGGTCGGGCTCCGCTCCACGCCTGAAGTACGGCGGCGTCGGCGCCACGCCCCCGCGGCGGAAGATTCCTTCGATCATCCTCATGCAGAACCTGACGTGGTCCTGGTCTTCGACGTCTAGTTCCCGCCACGCCTGGTTGACGCGCCCGGCCTTCTCGCACCTCCTGACGCTTCGAAGAGCCTGCCACCTCCCGCGCTTCACCACCTGCTCCTGAGTCCTGAGGTTCTCGGCGCGGTCGGCGCTGGTCCCCGCGTGGCGCCCCTGATATAGCACCACCGCCCAGTTCATGTTGGCGGCAGCGCGCCTGAAGACGCTCACATACTCGCGGCAACTCCAGTCCAGGAGGCGCTCGGAGCCCTGGGGGGGGCCTGGAAAAAACCTGGTAGATCGCCTCCATCCAGCCGCACCTCCTGGAATCCAGCGGGATGCTGTCGTCGCTCTCGCCGGTCTTGGACCGCAGGTTGCCCTCCTGTGGGACAAGCAAGAGGACACACGTAGCCACCCCGCCGGGGGCGGGCGGCAAGAAAAACGCCGGCGTCAGGCCCAGCATCTCTCCTGGGCGTAGGCAACCCTCTACCATGATCAAGGTTAGCAATGCTGCCATCAAGAATCCCAGCCTCGCGATCTCCACTACAATGGCCACCCACATGCCCACTGTCAGTGGCCTTCTCGAACGAGATGGGGAAGCTCTGCGCCATCCCTTCAACGCGCGAAGGGTGCGCGGCAGCTTGTCGTAGCCGTTCTTCCCGTAGCGCGGCGAGTGGAAGATGATGCCCGCTAGGAGCTTCTCTCCTCTCCAGTTCTTGTGACCCTGACCGAACTCGTAGTTCACGAAGTCGGTCAAGGCGGCGCCCAGGCTGGTGGGTTCCCCCAACAACGTCTCTAAGAAGGGGCCCCAGCTCAGGAAGTCGAGGACGCGCTGGCGGTACTGGGCTCGTGAACTTGAAAACAACAAACGTTTCGTTGGAGACATTCTCGACGATTTCCAGAGAAAACAACAGCAACAACAACAACAACAACAACAACAACAACAACAGCAAAAATAAATTTAAGACCGATCGCCCTTATATGCTCGAGTGTCCAATAACGCGTATTCCCCAAACCCTCGATACCCGCCCTCTTCGTCTTCGATCGAACCCCTTCTGGGGGGTATACCTTTCTTCCCTGCAGGCCGGGCCCCGGCAAGCGGCGGGGCGGCCGCGGACCGTCGGCCTGGCCAGCGGCAGCGCTGATCGGCGGGGCGGCCGCGGACCGTCGACCCGACCCCAAGAGGGACGGACAGGGGACCGGCCACGACGACGACCGACGACGACGACGACGTCGAAGACGACGGCAACGACGACGACGACGGCGACGACGAGCGAAAGCGAGAGCGAGAGACAACGACAGCAGGGCCACGAAGGGCACGAAGTAGGCCACGAAGGGCGACAGCGGGGACACAAAGGGAATGCGTATGGGGCCACGAAGAGAGCGAACGAGCGGGCGCCACGAAGTGCAGATAATGCGGGGCCACAGAAGGCAACTATGGGGCCACTAAGCGTAGCAACTGGGCCACGTAGGACAGTGAGGGGGACACAAATGGCGACAGCGGGGCCACGAAGGGCATGCACATGGGGCCACAACGGGCGCAATTCCTGAGTGCCTGGGTGTCGGGAGCGCGGCGCTTGGGCAAATTGCAAGAAATTCCAACGCAAGGCCATTCTTCAGTTGTAAGCAAGTCTCCAGCGAGAGCGCGACTCCAGAGCGCTGGGAGAGCGATTCCTTAATAAATTGTAAGGCAGTCCCAAGCGAGAGCGCGATTCCTGAATAAAATGCGACGAAGTCTCGGGCGGGAGCGGGGGTCCTGGCTAATTTGTAAGGAAGTCTCAAGCGGGAGCCGTTGTTGTTGTAACCCGGGGGCCAGGGGCCCAGTTTGAGCAGGAAGACTTTCCCTGTCAAAAACAAAGGGTGCGAGCGTCGATGGGGCACACTTTGATTGAGAAAAATCAGTATGTACCGGTGGGGGGATCAACAATAATTATTCTTCAGACATGAGAGTTCAACAACAACAACAACAACAACAACAACAACAACAACAACAACAACAACAACAACAACAACAACAACAACAACAACAATTACTAGCACGTGGGGACACTCCGTTCTCACCAGTGCCAGGGTTTTCATAGGAGGCGGGCAATACCCCCACTTTGTGGGGGGGCCGGTTCAAGCTCTACCAAATTTCCAAACGACTCTTCGCCACCACCCACACCCAGCTTCCCGCCCTATGACGTTCGGACACTTCACTTCGTGGCATGCGGACGACCGTGGCTACTATTCAGGGCCCCGCGGCCGACGACGACGGCGTGCGCGCGCGAAGAAAAAACGAATGTGTCCCGCATGGTATTATTTGACAGGGATGATGGCCCTGGCAGGTGCGCAACCGTTGTTGCAGAAGTTCGAAAAAGTTGCTCGCAAAAGCCCGTTTGACAGAAATGATTAAAAAGTGTTGGGTTTCCTACGAATCCGCAAGAGCGCGCGGGATGAAATTTTGACATTTTTTTTGAAAAACCATTGGTTTGTTTGATGTTTTTATGTTAAAATCGCTACGAAAACTAAGGTTTTGGAAGGATTTCGTCTTGCGCGCGCGAATGTCCACTTTACCTTATTTTTTGCAAGGGATTCTTGAAGTTTGGTTATGTTAGAACAAGAAATGTCCACTTTAGCTTATTTTTTGCAAGGGAAAACCGATCGTAACAACACAACCGGATCCGGACCAACCCGTTTTGCCTGAGACTTCCTCACGAAAATGATGAAAATGAGGCTGCGGCCTAGGCGCGGCGGGGGGGTCGTGCACCAGGGGTCTCAACAATAATTATTCTTTAGAAGTAATAATGTTCAACAACAGCAACAACAACAACAACAACAGCAGCAGCAGCAGCAGCAGCAGCAGCAACAACAACAACAACAACAACAACAACAACAACAACAACAACAACAGCAGCAGCTGCAGCAGCAGCAGCAGCAGCAACAACAACAACCACAACAACAACAACAACAACAACAATGACGCCAACAACAACAGCAGCAGCAGCAACAACAACAACAAGAACAACAACAACAATAACAAGAACGACAACAACAACCACAACCACAACCACAACAACAACGCCAACAACAACAACAACAACAACAACAACAACAATTACAACAATAGCAACAACAAACAACGTTTTGTTCGAACCTCCACCGAAATAAAAAAACATAGATAACACAAACAAGCGCGTCGTTCGAGACATCCTCAACAAAGTCTAAAACCAAACGTTTCGAAGCATCTTCAAAAATAGGCAGGCCCTCTGCCCGCTTCGCCGTCAATTCTGACGGCCCTACCCAAACGCATGTTTCTAGATCGTCATCGCAACTGGGCGCCGGCGGTAAACCGTTAACCAGGTTTTAATTGCGCGGCGTCTATCAGGACGGTGCTCTACGCCCCGACGCAAGCCAAGCTAGAGCGAGCGCTCGTCTCCAGCAAATGGCAAGCACAAGGGCACAGGGAGCAAAATGCAGCAGACGGGAGGGGGAGAGAAGAGAGAAAGAGACAAAGCAGGCGAGGAGGCGGAGAGAAAAGAGAAAGGAACAACGACGGAGAGGGCACAGCACCAAGTGCACGCCTGATGCCCACACACAAACATAAATATGCCACTCTTATACTGTGGTATGATCGCATCATGAAGATCATCCAAGCTCCGAGAACCATGAACCATGAGATCAATGGGGCACCTTCAATCGAGAAAGCGAACCAGGTTTCCGCCAGGAACCTCGTAGAGCTTTTTACAAGCATAAGAATGCTCTCGATGCGGACAGAAAGCTTCCTGAAGCATCAGTTTGAAAACTGGAACACCATCGACCCACGGACCAGGAAAGGAATATAGAATTGTAACGCGGCTATGTTTGCAAAGACGCCTGATTGGGTGACGGGCAAATGCAATGCTGAGTATATCGATTTTGATGTACCGTGCCGAGGGCTGTGCTGAGCTGCACCGTGCTGAGTTACGATGTATTATATCGCGAGTGTGCTCAATAGCGTCGTCGATCGAGTCCTTCTTTGCATCTGAATTCTGACCGAATGATCTGGATCTTAAGCTGCCTGAACACACAGGCGGCGTGCCAAGGAATGTGCGATGGCATCGCACCGCGGGACGTGCCAAGCAGACGCGCTACGGAACGTGCCAATGGATGTGCCACGGGATCTGGGAAAGCGCCACACGACGTGGGAGGGAGCCTCGCCAAGAAACGCCCCACGGAACGTGCCAAGGAACGTGCCTGGCTGCAATGCTGAATGTATCGATCTTGATGTACCGTGCCGAAGTGTGCTATGCTGCGCCGTGCTGAATTGCAATGTGTCATACCGCGATTGTGCCCTATAGCGTTGTGGATTGAGTTCTCCGTTGCGTCCAAGTCATGGTCGAACTCATCTGCATCTTCAACTCGAGACTAAACACATAGTAGCTGCCCCAGTGCTGATTAACAGGGGGACATACCAGCTGGACGCGCCACTGAACGTCTCAAGGGACGTGCGAAGTGACGTGCCAGGGGACGTGTCATAGGAACGCACAGCTGGACGTGCCAAGGGACGCGGCGGGGGCAAGAGTTTTGCTCGAGACGTTGTCAAGATCTTCAATGCCAGACATCCGTCTGAGGACCTGCACACGCAGCAAGCGTTTCGCTTAACACGTCCTCAAGACATTCTCCTGATAGACATCCGTCTGGGCAAACTAGACATGTGAAAATGAGTGGTTCGCTCCCTCAACACATCTTCATGTGAGACGTCCGCCCGAGTGACAATCGTTTCGCTTGAGACGCTGTCAGAACTTCCATTCTAGACACACGCCTGGGCAACCTGTACACGTGACAGCGAACGTCTCGCTCGAGACATGATCAACACATCTTCGTGTTAGACGTCCGTCTGGGCGACAGGGACACGTGAAAACAAGCGCATCTCTCGAAACAGTCTCGGCATCCTAGGCATCCGCCCTGGCAACTAGGACACGTGCAAACGAGCACTCGATCAAGACTTTCTCCACACATCCTCATGCCAGACATCCGCCTGGGCGACGACGACGCGTGAAACCAAGCATCTCGCTCGAGACATCATCGACAAGTTCCGGCGCTAGACCAAGAGGCCTAAAACCAACCGTCTCGCGATGAGCAAGAGGAATTCAGGCGCAGGGCTGAGGCAGTTGACTAGCCCGGCCAGGACAGACATTGTGGTAACGTGAATTTAGTTTCTGCAAATTTACCACGTAGAGCTCTTCGGTGCGATAAGCCAGCAGAGAAATACCTCTCAAAGCTCTTTGGTGGAATAAGCTCGAAAAGTTCCGGCGCGGGATGAAGTCAGTATGTCGTAGAGCTCATCGGTACGATGAGCTTAAAGAAATCCGAGCGCAGGATGGAGCTAGTTCAGTAACTCAGCCAGAAGAGACAGCGTACCACGTAGAGCTCTTCGGCACGATGAGCTAGCGGAATTCAGGCGCAGGAGGAATTCGGGCGCGGGGTGGAGCTAGAATAAGGTAGAGGAATTTTCTGGGATAACTCCTCAGACCTAAGTGGAGGTTGTTAGATTCGAAGCCGGGGCCGCAGGCTAACCCCGGAGACTGTTTCGGCGGCGGCCGAGACTTCCCGGCGCGCTTGCTTCAACTGGGTGCCCGCGGTAAACCGTCAACCAGGTTACCGCGGGGGACCTCGTAAAGCTCCGTATATACATAACCGAGCTGTCAATGCAGACAGTGAGCTCCTTAGAATATCAGCCTGAAAACTAGAGAATGAAAGTCCTGGGGTTTCTAACAGAGAATCAGTTGCACAGAAACTTTACTTCATACGGCAGCTTGCAACCTAATACTGCACAAGAAAACGCGACAGAAACTGCGCCAGATGCAGAGAAACTCCATTTCCGAGAAGACTTGCCCAATCGCTGATAATTCCCAGAAAATGTCTGATAAATTCTGATAGAAAACATATGTTTGTTTCTTAGGTTCGTCCCTGGGAGTGAATCGATAGAGATATTGCATCTACAACCTTGAGACTTTACCAGCACATGCAGCGTGATCCCAAGCTCAATGAGAGAATCTTGGGTTTTACAACGAAGTAAACAAATAACTTAGAATATTGCAAACAAAAAACGAAAAAGAAAAAAAAAAAAATCTCCCATGTCAAGTCAAAGTCGGTTCCGCCAAGTGTTTTGGTAGTACTACTGCAGCGACGGACCTGGGAATTTCATTGGCAGCCGCGCTAGAACCTACTACAGCTGCCAAAAAATCTTAGTTCTCAAAACGAATTGTCAAACTGGGCGCCGGCGGTAAACCGTCAACCAAGCTACCGCCGGGGATCTCGTAGAGCTACTTACATAGATAACAATGCTGTTAATGCAAACAGTAAGCTCCTGGAATATCTGCTTCGAAACTAGAGAATAAAAAAAACATCTTTCTGAGTTTAAGCAGAAAGTCCGTTGAACCAATATGTTTGAATAATACAGCAGCTAGAGACCTAATACAACACCTGCCTCCTCCTCCTCCTCCTCCTCCTCCTCCTTAAACGACCCCAACAAGCCGCTGCCAGAAGTTCTGATGGGTCCAGCGTGTGTGCAGGTAAAGTGGGGATGGTCAATGCCAAGAACTGGAAGGAGCAACAGGCTCGGCTCGATGGCGCCCAGTCGATCACGGACATCACGATGCTGGTCAAGGGCTTCAGAGTGTCGAGCGCATACAAGGAGGGGCTCGCCAAGATGGTCTTCAGCCTGTCAGACCCCCTGATGGCTCGGTGCTTCCAGGAGTGCGTGACTCAGATGGGCGGCCAGGTCCGCCCAGGCATGGCCCCGCGCAGCCACGTGGAGAGAGTGCTGCAGCTCGCGCTCGACCAGTTCGAGCTCTAGGCGTCAGTTCGCAAGACCTGGCCGCCTGCTCCTCGAGGGCGGTCCAGGCATCGACGTCGCAACGTACAGCTGGATCGGACGGCGTCAGAATGCGTCACAGTCGCCACGTACAGCTGGACGCTCCAGGGGGCGTCAGACCGCAAGTCCTGGCCGCCCGCTCCTCGAGGGCGGTCCAGGCATCGCCGTCGCCACGTACAGCGGGATCCGAAATCAGTGTGGTGGCGCAGAATACTGAGATATGTGCGACTCAGGATAGAAAGGGCATCGTGAGTCAGGGAGTGGCCGTGCAGTACCTACTTCGGGCAACTGTAGCTCCGAGGAACAGTTCGACTTCGATGGAGTTGTCGAGGACGGTGTCGTTGCTTGCCGTCCGCGCAGAGTACCAGTCTTGCTTCAGTGGAGGTGTCGAGGAGGGTGTCGTTGCCATCGGCTCAGAGCACCAGTGCTGCTTCAGTGACGCCGTCTGGGAGAGCGTCGCTGTCGTCGAGAGCCGGCGGGTCGACTGAGGGTTCGAGGCCCGTGAAGCCTGAGTTCCAGGAGGCCGCCCGTTGTGCTGTTGCTATCGCTGTCCATTCTCCCCCCACTCGTCCTTCGAGCCTTCCCCCTCGTCCTCAGAGGGTCTCCTCGTCCTCCGCTCTGAGTTTCAAAGCTTTGGTCGCGCTCGCGACACGAAACTAGCGTCCCTCGGATCCTGGGGGCCGTGCGTGCTTTTCTTCCTGCGTGTTGTTTCCCGAGGTGTCGCTTGGTGAATGGGGTCGAGCGAAGTCAACTCGGGGCTCCCCCCCTGGAGGGGGCGTTAGTCACTCGCTTGTAAAGCGCACGATTGGTCGCACATAGTCGAATTGCGCTTCGCGTTGCCCGCTATGTGGTCTCACGGCAGACGAGACATTCGGCCCGATATCGCTCCGCCGCCGCCGCCGCCGCCGCCGCCGCCTCCTCCTCCTCCTCCTCCTCCTCCTCCTCCTCCTCCTCCTCCTCCTCCTCCTCCTCCTCCTCCTCCTCCTATTCTTCCCAAGTGTAGGTACATAGTTGACGCACTCCGAAGCTGGAGAAGGGTGCCTCTCCAGCCCAGACCGCGAGGCCTGGTCACATTGGACATGGGGGCGCCAAAACAAGCATCAATGGCACGCCGCAGTGGGGAGCTCATCAGCGTGTTATCGGGGAGACATCAAACTCGGGTTCGGGGGACTCGGATTGGAATGATGTAGCCGTCAAGAGTCAAGAGACTGACGAGACTCTGTGTAAAATTTGACGCGAGTGCCTGCTGCAAACAACACTCCACGAAAACTGAACCATCACCATTCAGGACGTGCATGTTAAAAACGGTCAACCCAAGTTCTGGCAAACTCGAGTCCTACGTATCCCCGATGCTACTGACGCAGAAGCACCATTCCTCCGGACGGAAAATAAAATGATACTGGAGAAAGAAAAAAAACTAACACTAGTTTCGTTAGGGCTATAGGGCTATGGGGCTATAAGGCTGTAGGGCTATAGGGCTATTTTGCTATAAGGCTACAGGGTTATAGGGCTGTAGGGGTATAGGGCTATAGGGCTATATGGCTATATGGGCTATATGGGCTATAGGGCTACAGAGCTATAGGGCTATAGGGCTATAGGGCTATAGGGCTACAGGGTTATAGGGCTATAGGGCTATAAGGCTATAGGGCTATAGGGCTATAGGGCTGAAGGGCTATAGGGCTATAGGGCTATAGGGCTATAGGGTTATAGGGCTCTTGGGCTATGGGGCTATATGGCTATATGGCTATAGGGCTAAAGCGCTAAAGGCTATAGGGCGATAGAGCACCTGGGTACCCGGGGACCCGGGCCCCCCCAGGCACCCGGGCACCGGGCACCCGGGCCAGCCACCGAAATCTGCGACCCACCTCACCTAACCATCTGAATCCGCTAGGACCCCTACAGAGGCAAGCTCTGATTGGGGAATAACCTGCCGACGGGCCCCCAACGGCAGCGTGTCATTGATACTCCCTTCCCTCCCAAGCACTCCTGCAGAAATCTGCGCGGACCTCCGAAAGAGTTTACAATCGTCGTGCTGCCAAGGGGTATGCTGAGTAAGGAACAAAAGGGTAACGGCTACCTTCTCGGCCACGGGCAAGTTCCACGGCCCAGATCTGAGGAGCGGCCCGAAACACAGAGCCCCTCCTGATACCAAACTTGCCCCTACTCCAATGTCAGACGAGGGCAGAATGAGGACAAAAGCCTAGAGAGCCGCTAGGTCTGGGGGACGTATCGGGCACCGCAGCCGATGCAGAGCGCTCCGGCACGCTCTGAGAGAGTTCTGGACCGCTCTGGAGCGATTTGTCTTCATCCTGGGGCTACCCGACCTCTGCAACACTGCGAGACGAGCCAGAACTAGTGCCCATACCATGCAGCAAGCAAACCCGCATCCACGCAGAGATCAACCTGCAATGGGCGGGTCGGCTCGCGAGACTCTGGCCCGTGCGGTAGAGATACAGAGCGTGCGCATATACCCCTGGCCAGCGACGGCAGCGGGTGACCGATGCCAAGAAGTAGAAAAGGTGCCTGGGGGTTGGGATTCAGGGTCGAGGTTCTTTGGAGGACTACCGCGGGGCCCAGAGCATCAGGAATGGATCGTGGCGGGGCGCCCAAAGAGGGTTGGGCACAGATGCCGTGGGCTGACCCCGTCCTTGAGTGCCCAGAAGCCTTCTCAATGCACAGGCCTCCACGCCCCGCGAAAAACGAACGCGACGGTTAACATGCTTTGATGTGTGTTACTCTCACTGTCCGCTTCGGGCCACGGGATCATCAGAAGAACAATCTAGGGCAAGGGGGGGACAGCTCCGGGGGGGGCCGGGTCGTGAAAGAATCACGACGTCGGAGGTCTGAGTCAGGAGTGCCTGGACGTCTCTTCTCGCATGGGCGGTAAACTGAGACGACCACATACGATCCACCACCCTAGCAAATCAGCGAATGGCGGAGCGGAAGGCGGGCAAGGGGACAGATGGACGAACAAACCGTTGCGAGATGGCGGTTCGAATGAACAACAGAGATACTGGCCCATGGCGGGGTCGTCCGGATTTTACGACTTGAAGACGACAGATATCCCAAACCAATAGAAGCCCCAGCCCACTACGTGAGACCGTGCTCGGTCAGCACAGCATCGATGACCTCTGATGCCCAATCAAAACCCCTGATCCCTCCGCTCTTCTCCATCGACCTCCCTCATTCACGTCCCCCCTCCTCCTCGCCCGCTGCTCCTCACCCACCCCTTCCCCTCCTCATTCTTACCAGCCGCCGCCGCCTCGCCTCCTCATCATGATCTTCCTCCTCCTCTTCCTCCTCCTCTTCCTCCTCCTCTTCCTCTTCTTCTTATTAATATGAGTAGTCTTCTTATGGTTCGTATAATTGTTTCTTAAAAATATTCATACTATGACTATTGTTAGTAGTATTAATACTATCATTATTATTGTTATTATTATTGTTATTCGTATTATTATTGTGATTATTATCATTAGAATTATTATTAGTATTAGTATTAGTATTAGTATGAGTATTAGTATTAGTATTAGCATTATTATTATAATTATTAGTATTATTATTAGTAGTAGTAGTAGTATTAGTATTATTAGTAATATTATTATTAATATTATTGTTATTATTAGTATTATTACTAGTCTTATTATTATTACTATTATTAGTAGTATCATTCTTATTATTATTATCATTATTATTAATATTAATATTATTATTATTAGTATTATTGTTAGTATTCTCCGTAGTATTATTACTACTATTATTATTACTATTAGTAGTAGTAGTAGTAGTAGTAGTATGATTAGTATTATTAGTAGTATTAGTATTAATAATATTATTAGTATGAGTGGTAGTCTTCTTAGTATTAGCATTATTAGTATTAGTATTCGTGATAGTCTTATTAGTCGTTATAGTGTTCTTCTTATTAGTAGCATTATTAGTAGTATTCGTATTCGTCCGCTTCTGGAAACTATGATTATTATTCTGCTCCTCCTCCTCCTCCTCCTCCTCCTCCTCCTCCTCCTCCAGCTCCAGCTCCAGCTCCAGCTCCAGCTCCTCCTCCTCCTCCTCCGCCTCCTCCTCCGCCTCCTCCTCCGCCTCCTCCTCCTCCGCCTCCGCCTCCGCCTCCGCCTCCCCTCCTCCTCCTCCTCTCCTCCTCACCTCTCCTCCTCCTCCTACTCCTCCTCCTCCTCCTCCCTCCTCTCCTCCCTCTCCTCCTCTCCTCCTCCTCCTCCTCCTCCTCATCCTCCTCCTCCTCCTCCTCCTCCTCCTCCTCCTCCTCCTCCTCCTCCTCCTCCTCCTCCTCCTCCTCCTCCTCCTCCTCCTCCTCCTCCTCCTCCTCCTCCTCCTCCTCCTCCTCCCGCCGCTCCAAAACGGCGCCAGAGGCGCCCAAGACCTCCCCAAGACGGCCCAAGAGGCCTCCAAGAAGGCCCCAAAACAACACAAGAGGACCCCAAAACAGCCAAAAACGCCTCCAAGACTGCCCCAGATGGCCCCAATACGGATCCAAGAGCGTGCCCAGACGGGGGACCAGAACGGACACTTCGAGCCCTCGGCCCCACGAGGCTCCCAGGAGGCCCCAGAGGTTCCCCAGTGGCCCCAAGAGGCACACAAGAGGTCGCCAGGAAGCCCGAAGAGGCCCCCAAGAGGCTCCCAAGAGGCCCCCAAGAGTCTCCTAAGAGGCCCCAAAATTCCTCCCCAGAGGCCCCCGAGACACTTCCGAAGAGACCCCTAGAACCATCCATGAGGACTCTGGCCCACGTCCGCGTCGTCGTCGTTGCCGCCGCCGCTGTCGTCGTCGTCGTCGTCTCCCTTCAGGGTCGGCGGCACCGGCCGTAAGGCATTCGCAATCTCAGGCGAAACGCCCGGCTCGCCCTACCGACACGTCTCGGGGTGCGACCGGGAGGAGATATTTCGGAGGAGGAGGAGGAGGGAAAAGAGGAGGCTGGAGAGAGGAGAGGAGAGAGGAATGGGCTGGTGTGGCTGAGATATCATGGCCCAGTGGGGATGGAGATCGGTTAGATGTTGCTGATTCCCCAGTCCTAACCACTGTCGGTGCAAGTGGGCGAATCCCGCTGGTGCCAAGCAGCGCGCCTGTGACCGGGCCGCCCCCTGGCGGCCCCTACAGGGCCAGGGCGGCCTCTGGCAAGCGCGGCGGCTGGGGCCGACGAAGGCGGAGGGTACAAAGGGGAGGGGTGGAGGAGACGGAGCAGACGGGCAGAAGGGGGAGGATGAGAATGGAGGGTGAGAATGGAGGAGGATGGACGAGGTTGGAGGATGGACAGGAGGGAGGATGACGAGGACGGACGAGGATGAAGGAGGATATAAGGAGGATAGGAGGTGCGGAAAGGTCGGCGTGTGGATCCCAGCGGCCCAGGCCCTCGCCGATGACGGCCAGCCGCGGCTGCTGCGCGCTGGGGAGTGAAACAACATGTTCGACCCACGAACCCAGAAAGGAATTCAGAAATGTAAGGCAACGCAACGTTTCGAAGACACCTGATTGGGCGACGGGCAACTGCAATGCTGAGTGTCTCGATCTTGATGTACTGTGCCGGGGGCTGTGCTGTGCTGCGCCGTGCTGAATTGCGATGTGCCATGCCGCGAGTGTGCTCTTTAGCGTTGTGGATCGAGTCCTCCTTTGCATCCGAGTCCTGACCGAACTGATCTGGATCTTAAGCTCGAGCTGCCTGAGCACATAGTAGCTGCCCCAGAGCTAATTGACAGGGGAGCATGCCAGGAGGACGCGCCGCGGAACGTCCCAAGGGACGCGCCAGGGGACGTGCCAGGGGACATGGCATGGGGACCACCGCGAGACGTGCCTTCAAGGGGACGCGCTACAGAACGTGCCACTGGACGTGCCACGGGACGTGCCAGGGGACGCGCCGCGCGACGTGCCAGGGGGACTCGCCACGGGACGCGCCACGGAACGTGCCAGAGATCGTGCCAGGTTGCAATGCTGAGTGTATCGATCTTGATGTACCGTGCCGGGGGCTGTGCTGTGCCTCGCCGTCCTGACTTGCGATGTGCCATGCCGCGAGTGTGCTCTTTAGCGTTGTGGATCGAGTCCTCCTTTGCATCCGAGTCCTGACCGAACTGATCTGGATCTTAAGCTCGAGCTGCCTGAGCACATAGTAGCTGCCCCAGAGCTAATTGACAGGGGAGCATGCCAGGAGGACGCGCCGCGGAACGTCCCAAGGGACGCGCCAGGGGACGTGCCAGGGGACGTGGCATGGGGACGCACCGCGAGACGTGCCTTCAAGGGGACGCGCTACAGAACGTGCCAATGGACGTGCCACGGGACGTGCCAGGGGACGCGCCGCGCGACGTGCCAGGGGGACTCGCCACGGGACGCGCCACGGAAAGTGCCAGGAAACGTGCCAGGTTGCAATGCTGAGTGTCTCGATCTTGATGTCCCGTGCCGGGGGCTGTGCTGTGCTGCGCCGTGCTGAATTGCGATGTGCCATGCCGCGAGTGTGCCCTATAGCGTTGTGGATCGAGTCCTCCTTTGCATCCGAGTCCTGACCGAACTGATCTGGATCTTAAGCTCGAGCTGCCTGAGCACATAGTAGCTGCCCCAGAGCTAATGACAGGGGAGCATGCCAGGAGGACGCGCCGCGGAACGTCCCAAGGGACGACGTGCCAGGGGACGTGCCATGTGGACGCACCGCGGGCGCTACGGAACGTGCTGGGGACAAGCGTTTCGCTCGCGACATCCTGCGCAAATCCTCATGCTAGGCATCCGACTGGGCGACCTGGACACATGAAAACAAGCGTCTCGCTCAACACATCCTCAACGTATCCTCATGCTAGACATCCAGCTGGGCGAACTGGACACGTGAAAACAAGTGGTTCGCTCGAGACATCCTCAAAACATCTTCATGCTAGACGTCCGCCTGGGCGACCTGGGCACGAGAAAACAAGCGTTTCGCTCGAGACCTTCCTGTTACATCCTCATGCTAGCCATCCGCCTGGACGACATGGACACATGAAAACAAGCGTTCCGCTCGAGACCTCAACAGATCTTCATGTTAGACATCCGCCTGGGCGGCCTGGACACGTGAAACCAAGCGTTTCGCTCAACGCATCCTCAACACATCATGCTCGACATCCGCCTGGGCGACCTGGACACGTGAAAGCAAGCGCCTCGCTCGAAACATCCTCCCAAGATCTTCATGTTAGACATCCGCCTGGGCGACCTGGGCACGTGAAAACAAAATCCGTAAGGGCTTCGCCCCCTGCCGCCGGCCCCCTCTCTCGGAGAATGGGCCATGGAAGAGCTAAGTCATGAGGCCTTGGCGCTGTCGTGAAGCAGTATCGAAACTTCATGCGAAGCCGAGTCGCAATCAGCAAAACCAACTGATCACAAGAGGGGTTACCACACCTGGCGATTGGTAATACGTGTATGGTTTAAGGGCTTGGTTGCCACACCTTGCGATTAAAGGGCCGAGGGAGTTCTCGCAGTTTGGGTTACCACGCCTTGCGATGGATGTGCGTGATGGGTTCGAATTTCAGAAATGTGGCAAATCCCCTGTGTTTTTGGACCCTGACCCCGCGGATCTGCGTGAGGGGTGGCACCGAATTTCAGAAATGTGGCAAAACCCCTGTGTGTTTACAAAGCGAGCTCCTCCTCCGGGGGTCTGGTGCCGGCTCCTCCGCTGGTGGGGGCCCTCCGCCTCCGCAGCCTCCTGGAGCCTTCAAAGAGCCGCTGTCTATGACGCTGCCTGCGACCTGCCTGCTTTGCAGACCTGCGCGCCGCCACGCTGCTTCCGGGCAGGCCGTGCTGTCCGGCGAGGAGGAAGGAGGAGGAGGAGGAGGAGGAGGAGGGGGAGGAAAAACGCGGCGAGCATACATAACCATGCAGGAAGAGAGGGGGGAGGGGAGGCGGCAAAGGAGCAGCAAGCAAGCACGCACGACGGGGGGCGGGCGGGGGGCAGGGGGGGGCGAGGGTCGTCGCGTTGGGGGCGGACAGGGGGCGGGAGGGGGCAAGGGGCGTCGGCGGCGGTCGGGGGGTCGTCGAGGGTCGTGGGCATGCGGGGTCGTCGGGGTCGTCGGGGTCGACGTGGGTCAGAGGGTGTGACGGCCGTCGCATCAGGGCCCCGTGGGCGTCCAGCGGGGCGGGCGGGGTCGGCGGGGGCGGGGGCGGGGACGGGGGCGGAGTGGGGCTGCCCGGCGGGTCACTGCGGCGGTAGCTCACACGGCATCCGCCGTGGCGGCTGCCGTGGCCGCGGCCAAGCGCGCGGCCGTCGCCCCCGCTCGCGGCTGGAGGCGTCGCAGCACTGCCCGCGCGTTTTCCCTGTGCAGGGAAATAGAAAGTCGCTGGGCAAGCTGGTCGGCCGCGAGCGCGGCGTCGTCTCCGGCAGCGTCGGCCGCGCGTTTGGCGAGCACCGCGAAGGCGCGTCGCGCCTCGCGGCCCCAGCCGCCGCCGTGGGCCTCGCATACCATCGGTATGAACGTCAGGTCGGCCTCTGAGCATCTGCGCGCTGTGTCCAGGTGCAGGCGCTTCTGCTCCTCGTAGCGGGTCGCCGCCGCGTCGCCGCCGCCCTCCGCGGCCGAAGTCGCGAGCAAGTCCGCGCGGAGGCCCGAGGTCACGGCGAAGTCCCACACGGCCGGCGTGCCGCCTCGCCACCGCGGAACGAAGACGTCCGCGGGGCGCCTCCCGTCGCCGTCCAAGTCGTCGCCGCCGGCCTCCCCGGCCGGGGGGCCCTCGCCGGGCGCGCGCGGCGGCAGCAAGCCCGGGCGCTCGAGTTCCGCTCTGGCGTAGCCGGCGGCCAGCGCCTCGTGCCAGGCCCGGTCCCGGAGGCAGTTGTGGCGCTTCGTGCGGTCGCCGCGGCAACTGCAGGTGAGCGCGTGGTCTGCAAACACGTCCATCACCTCCCCGCACGCGGGGCAAAACGTCTCCTCCTCGAGCAGCGGGTGTCGAAGGCGGCGTTGCAGCGCCACTTGCATCAAGCTGCGCGGGAAGTCGGTGCCGAATGCTGGGCACGGCGGCGCCTGCAGGTAAGCGCCAGCGCCCGGGGCCGCTACCAGGTTGAGGTGGGCTCTCGTGGCCGGCGGGGCGCGTTGCCAAAGGTCGTCGCGGACAGCGTCGTCCACCTTTTCAGAGAGGAGCCGTTGGTCCCCGTGCTGGGCGGGGTCGAAGGCGATCCGGTCTGCTGGAAGGACTGTGTCGTTGAAGGCCTGCGTGGCCGCGGCAAGGCTGCCCCCGTCTCCGCCGTCGGTGTCTTCGTAGGCTGCGTAAAGCTGTCGGCAGAGTTCCGCGCCGCGGGCGCGGGAGGCCAGGTAGGCGGCCGCGGCGTGCTTCTCGGTGGAGCGGAGCCCAAGCCCGCCTCGTTTGAGTTTGAGCTGCGCTTGCTTCCACGAGTCACCCGAAAAGGTAGACCCGCTGAGTTGCTCCAAACATGCCCGGACGGCGGTGTCCATGGCCTGCAGCGCGCCGGCGTGCGCCGTCGGCGGTATCACGCGCGCGGAGTAGCCCAGCTTGCAGTAGGAGGCGCACTGGCGGAGCAAGAGCAAGGCCGTCTGAGCGTTTTCCAAGGCCCCGAGAGCTTCCAGAAGGTCCGCAGCCTTGGCCACCCTTTCCCTGGTGTGTCCCGAGCAGAAACGGTCGTTCCCCACAGGGGCCCCCAAGAGTTCGAAGCTGTTGTCCTCCCTGATGCGGAAGCCTTGCGGGAATGCGGCCACGTCAACGTTGCTGTCGGCGCCGCTGGCGGGCACCACCTCGCACTTGCCGGGCCCCGTGCTGAGGTCCAGGCCGACCGCGGCAAGGCGCCTCACCAGGCGGTGCAGGAGGCGGGCGACCGCGGGCGCGTCCCCCGCCAGGCAGCCGTCGTCGAGGTAAAAGAAAACCAAGTCCAGGGAACCGTCGGCCGGGTCGGCTTGCTCGGCGCGCGCCTCCTCCGCGCAGCGCTGCAGGGCGAGTGCGAAGAGCAGGGGGCCGAGTGGGTCGCCTTGCTGGACGCCGCGTTCGGACCGTAGGGTCTTCTTTCCCAGAAACAGCAGGCTCGGGGCGCCATAACACCAGTCTACGAAGGGGGCAAGGCCAGGGAAATCTTCGTGAACTGCTCGCAGAAACGCTTGCCTGTCCAGCGTGTTGAAGGCGTTCGATAAGTCTAGTTTCACGAAAACCTTCTGGCGGTCGCCCTGGTTCCTGGTCCACCATTGCCGCGAGACGTGGACTGCGGCCTCCGTGCCCCCGGGCACCGCCACTCCGAGCTGCAGAGGCGCCAGCCGCGCGCGTGCTGCATCTGATACCTCGCCGCAGAGGCACTTGCCCACCAGGCGGCGCAGCGTCTCCCCGACGGCGACCGGCCGCAGACCGCCGTCTTTCTTTGGGAGGGCCGCCAGCGAGGCACCCGCGAAGAGCTTCGCAGCAGCGGGGGGCGCTTGGCCCCGGGCAAGCAGGTTGGTCAGGCTGTGGAGCTGCTGCAGGACTTCGTCCCTTTGTGCCGCCGTCTGCAAGCCGTCCTTGAGGTGCTGGGGTCGCAGGCCCGT